CGCGAGGGACCTCTCTCTCTCTTCTCGTCCTTGTCACACTCACGGACAGAGGGAGAGAGAAGTCCCTCGCGCGAGGGAGCTAGCCCCTGCTAACACTGTGCGGAATCACCCTGCAGTACTTGTACGCTGCGGGACACAAGTCTGTGTCGGGTCCGAAAGGGACGTCTCGGGTACCCCCCGCGGGGAGCCGCTCTAGGGGTACGAGTGGCTAGGGGAAGCGGGAGCCCCTGCAGCGCTAGGGTAGGCCACCCCTCCGCGCAGCCACACCCCGCGGGCGTGCCTACCGGGCCGGGCGGCCGCAGGAGGTGGCGCCGCGCCGCCGCAGCACGGCGAGGTCGAGCGTGTCAACGCGCCGCGCGTCGCGTCATGTCGCGGGCGCCGCCTCACAATAGACCAATAACCGCGGCCATTGTCGCCAAACACGTCAAACACGTCGCGGGCTGGGCGGTCGCGTCGCGTCGCGTAGGACACATCAGTCATTCGCGGCACGGCGACGCGCTGCTCGCTGCTCCCGTGCTAAATGGGCCGTTTCTTCTCAGCTTTGGAGCGGCCTGGCGAGCAGCTCGTTGGCGCGCAAGCACATCCCCTCCGGCGGCTGCTGCTGCTGCTGCTGCTGCTCCCGCGATAATCCGCCATTCCGAGCCGTAATTGAGTGGACTGCCCATGAAAGGAGCGCGGCGGGGCGGGGCCGGCCGGGCCGGGCGCGTCATGAGGTGTTCATTGCGACGTGCGCGCGCCGGGCCGGGCCGGTCCGGGCCCGAGAGGGGTACGTCGGGGCTGGGGCTGGGCCGGCGAGGAGGCTGAGGTTGACTAGGCTAAGCGAACCCTCCTCGCCCCGCCTGCTGGTCTGGCCCGGCCTGTTCGCCCGAGAGGGGTACGTCGGGGTTGGGCTGGGCCCGCGAGGAGGCAGTTGACTAGGCTAAGCGGGCCCTCCTCGCCCTCGCGCTGCTCGCGTGCTCGCGCCGCCGCCTGCTGGTCTGGCCCAGGCCTGCCGGCCCGCCGGGTGAGCAGCGCGCCTTATTTGTTTAGTTGCCTGTCCAGCGCTGACGAATGAGTCACGCGGGCCGGCGCGGGCCGGGAGGACGCGGTGACTGCAGGACCAGGACCCCCCGAGGAGGAGGGCCGGAAGTGGACCAGGAAACATCATCATCATGAGAGACAATGTGCGCCGAGAGACGGTCTCGACCCCCTCGGGACGTATGGTGGGGTGGGTGCACCCTCACACCTTCTGACAGCTGCGCTGCGTACTTTGAAAGTAGACAACCCATGAAGCTCTGTCGGTATTATTGTCAGGTTAGCCTGACAGGCTCCTTGCTACAAATCTGCGCCCTTCTACGCACTGATTGCGAAAGCAAACCACGCAGTATTATAGGCACTACACGCCTGGAAAAAATTACCTGTCCGGCATTTTCCCGACACATTCTTTTGGGTGGGAAAGTGCAACATTGTCAGTGTACTTACCTGGCTCTTAGCGGCGTCGCCGATGAGGCGCTCCGAGTCTGTGAAGGCGACATAGGAAGGCGTGGTGCGGTTGCCCTGGTCGTTGGCGATGATCTCCACCTTGCCGTGCTGCCACACGCCGACGCACGAGTACGTCGTGCCCAGGTCGATCCCCACGGCGGGCGCGTTCTTCCCCGGCATGGCGGCGTCGGATGGGTTGTGCTGCTTGCTGTTTCTGCGGCGTCGGCGGGGGGACAAAGAAACACACAGATCAGCGACAACGTGATGGAGTCGGATGTTGTTGGATTGCCCCCTCCGCCCTGCCGTTTAAAATAGAACATTGTGGCATACACGCTCGTAGCGAGGGCCCCTTCAGTGACACACCGGGCCGGGCACCTACGCCCACTCCGCCCACGTCTCCCCGACGGCTCTTCACCCAGCGGCGCGGCGCTCCGCCCGGCAAGTCTCCCGAAAGCGTTTTATACATAAGGGACATCCATCACCGGATGATCGGCCGGTCGGCTCGGCGGTGTCGTCACGAGCCGGCTCCGCCCTGCTCCGCCCCCGTCAGTGTGTCATCCCCCGCGACAGACCGCCGCGCTTGGCACCCCGCGTCCCGCGCCACCAAAATATATAGTGTGTGAGGCGAACGCGTGAGGCGGCCGCGCTTTTGGGGCGCGTGTCAGGAAAACGCCAGGGCTGCCTCCGCAGAGTGAGTCAAGGGCCGTCAGTCTGTCGGAGGGAGACGGACATCCAAACTATAGTGAGCGGTGTGTCGCGTGTTGTTGGTTTTCGGACGCGTCTCTCTCCTCCCGCCCGGCCGTGGCCCCGGCGGATGGATTTACACGGACGGATCGGGGGCGTTAGTGTTCCGCCGTGGCAAGCCTCCAAACTGAATGGGCGGTGCGAAAGGAGCGCGACACGCACGACCCGACGGCTGTGCCCCGCCGGCCGGGCACTACGAGCACCGGGCACTTCCACAACCCTTTGCGCTTTCCTCCGGACTTCCCTCTAG